TCCTCCTATTAGTTATTGACTTCTGCCTGTAGGGCCTTAGCTTCAAGAACACCTTCTCCCCCACTTCATAAGTTCATATTGTATGTCTCTTCTGTGTGTATATGCTCGCTTCTTCATGATTTGTTGTGCTCTTCCCAGATGTTTCTTAAACTCCAACACCTGGTCTTTCTCCTCTAGGTACTGTTCAACTAAAGAGACTGGTGTGTTTCCTCTCTCATAATGCACTAAGTGTGGGGGGTCTCTTCCATAGAACACTTTGAAAGGGGTCATTTGGGATGTAGAATGGTACAAAGTATTATACCAATACTCTGCCCATGGTAACCATTTAGCTCACTTTCGTGGTGTTTCAGAAGCAAAACACCTCAAATATGTCTCCAAGTTCCGGTTCACCACCTCTATCTGTCCGTCTGTCTCTGGATGGTAGGCGGTACTTCTCTTGAGAACAGTGCCCTGCATTCTAAAAAGTTCCCTCCAAAATTAACTAAGGAACACTTTGTCTCTATCAGACACAATTGACTCAAGAATCCCGTGTAATCTAACCACTTCCCTGACAAATGCTGATGCCACTGATACCGCGATATATGGATGTCTTAAGAGGATGAAATGTGCATACTTACTAAGTCAGTTCACCACTATCAAAATGACTGTGAATCCCTCTGAGTGGGGTAGGCTGTCGATGAAGTCCATGGACACTTCCTCCCATACTCTATTTGGAAGTGCCAATGGTTGGAGCAATGTTTAAAATTGCGTATTCGGGTATTGAGGCGTTTTTCATTCGTGAGGCGAGGCGTAAGCCTCAAGGTGTTTTGAGGCGTAAGCCTCAAAATCAAAAGATTGTGTAAACATAAAATGATAAATTTTTTATATACTAAGGAGTGAATAATATAAAACATAAAAAAGCATAAGATATTAAGTGAAATCAAAATATCCTAATAATAAGACAACAAAATTCTATCTTTCTCAAATCCCCCTATTCTTTTCATTAACATATAATTCAAATTTTCAAAAATAAATAGCAATGACATATCACATAAGAACTCATAAGTCATCAGCGCTATCATTACTAAGGGTTCTTCATTTGAATCATCATTATGATGAACTGCTCTCTCCCCTTCCTCCTCTCCTATAGAGTCCAATATCGGGCATTTAATACAAGATTTATGTAAGTTTTAATATATATAGCGTGAGGCGTAAGCCTCATGCCAGTGAGGCGAGGCGGGCCTCAAGGCGGGTTTCAACCAAGTTGAGGCGCAAGCCTCGTAAAAAAACTTGAGGCGTAAGCATCGAGGCGTTTTTTACTGGAATTTGTGCAAAGGCGGGCCTCAAGGCGAGCCTCATATTGCGCAATTTTAAATCATGGGTTGGAGTAACCCTCCTGGTGCCATTGCCGTGAATTTATTTCTCTGGCACACCTCTCACCTTGCCACTATCTCCTCCACATCCCTATACATCCCCTTACAGTAGAGTTCTGATGCTAGCCTCCTATACGTCTTCTGTACTCCTGAATGTCCCCCAACTGCACTGCCGTGAAATTCCTGTAATAAGTGAGGAATGTGTACTGATGTTCGTGGTATAACATACCTCCCTAGATGCAATAACCTCTCTCCCTCCAAATAATATCCTGAATGACTACTACTATCCTTCTTTAAATCTTCTTTGATCTTCTTCAACTCCTCGTTTTGCGTGCTCTCTTCTTTGATGGCTCCCCAGTCAACCATCAGTGGTACTGACACTGTCAACTCCTGAAGTTCTCCAACACATCTGGATAAGATGTCAGACACCTTATTTTCCACCCCTGGCCGATACTGGATCTCAAAATCATAGCCCAAATGCTTTGACAGCCACATCTGGTGCTCCTCGGTCACCATCCTTTGCTCCAGCAAGTATTTCATATCCCGTTGATCCGTACGAACAATGAAATGCCTACCCAAAAGATAAGGGCATCATTTCTGAATGGCTAAGACGATGGTCATCAGGCATCAGCTCTTTCTTGTACACTGACTTCAATCGTTCTGCATGCTCCTGCTCTCTGGGTGTGGGCAAGCTGCTGTGAGGTGGCTGGAACACCTCCCTGAACTGCTGTACGAGCGGTTGCACCACCAGTGGAATGTCTCCCTCCTCCCCTACACTGACCCTCTCCAAGCATTGCAGCTCCACCAAATATCCACCTCCTGTATGGATCTGATCATGGATTTTAGAGATACTATTGCCCTCGACAGCCTCGCATCACCCTGGATCACCTTCCTCCATCCTTGCACCATCAGTTCCATCCTCAGAGTCCCCTAGTTGACCTTGGTCTCCCCCAAAGTATGCAACCATTTCATCCTCAGGATGACATCGGTACTTCCCAATTCTAAGGGAAGAAAATCCTCCCTCACCTGTAGCCCTTGAATGGTCAACATCACTCCCCTGCACACTCCTCTCCCCATTTCCACCTTCCCTGTGCCCATCATCACTCCATATCCTTCTATGTCCACTAATTTCACCTCCAACAGATTGACGATCCAGCTAGAGATGAAATTGTAGGTGGCCCCACTATCGATCATCACCACTACCTCCCGATCCCCGATTTCCCCCCTCACCTTCATGGTGTGATTTGGTGTGAATCCCAACATAGAGTTTAGGGAGACTTCATCTACATCAAGATGTAACTTCTCTTCTTCCTCCTCCACTGTCCCACTCTCACCTCCCTCAGTTTCCTCGTCATCACAGACGGTGAGAACGTGAAGAGTTCGGTCCTTACATTGTGCCCTGGCATGTACTTCTCATTGCATCTGAAACACAACCCCTTGACCTACTTCTCCTGGATCTCTTTCTAAGTCAGCTTCTTAAAATTTTCTCGAAGCCCCCCTCCTCCATTCCTCTCCTTTGGTGCCTCTCGTGAACCCCCTGGTGCAACTCCTCTGAGAGCTAGGAAAGTAGTCGTCATCCCGTAGGATCCCTCGGAACTACTGCCTCGAGCCCCCCTCTCCAAATGCTTCTGGTCCTCCACCAGCTGAGCCAACTCCATGGCCTCACCCAAGTCGCGTGGTCGCATCACTCTAACAACTGCTCTGATCTTCGGTTTGAGCCCCTTCAAGAAGTTTCCTTCAAGCACGATTTCAGACAGACAATCAAATCTGCTTGCTAAGTACTCAAACCGATCACGATACTCCACCACTGTCCATTCCTGCGTCAAGGCAAATAATTTCTCATAGAAGTCTCCTCCCCTACTGATTCGGAAATGCTCCAATAGGCACTCCTTGAACTCTCTCTAACTCCTAATGGGCTGCCTCATATCCCGCCACTAGTACTAAGCCAGTGCCTTTCCCTCCAAGCATAGTCCTGTCGCCGTTAGCTTCTCTTCCTCTATCAGCACGTTGATAGAAAAATGACGTTCTACCTTATAGATCCAACCATGACCATCCTCACCCTCAAATATGGACATCTTCAGCTTTCTCATCTTCAAGTCACCCCAATGGCCCCTGGCTCCTCCATATCCTCCCATGCTGCGAATGGGAGGGGCTCCCCAGCTGTCCCTATCTTTCCTTCGGTGATCAAATCCGTATTCATCATCAACTTCCCCTCTTCGCCTTTCAAATTCAGCCCATCGGTGGTGGAAATCTCCCATTCTTCCCACAAAATCAGCACACCTTTTTCCATATCCCATACTCATCTCCTCTCTCGACAGTGGCTCTAGAGGCGGCATGTCATCCTCTACCTCAAGGATCTCCACTTCCGGATTTTTCCTCCCCCTAAACGGGTTCGGATTTCCTCCTACGCCATGGCCTTCGATGGTCTCCCTAGCTTCCGATGTTGTTGGATTGGTCTTCATCTCAAGTAATTTCTTCATCATCTCTTCCATCACTGTGAACTTCCCCCCTTCCAACCTTTCATTGTTGGAGGTGATTTTATTTTGAAAATAAAAAAAATTTCCCTCCAGATCTGATTTTAATTGACCGATTTCGCCTTCCAAGACTTCCACCTTCTTCCCGGCCATCTCCCTTCCCAAGAATCACAAGAGATCTTCCTTCGGATATCAAAAATCCATTGAAATTTCAGAATTTCAGCCGCCGATAGTCCCAAATCAATGCTCTAATACCAATTTGATAGGAAGTACTTGAGTTCGCAAGTAACCCTAAGGTAATACTTGAGTTTGCAAGCAAACCTAATCGAAATTAGTAAGAAAACAAAGAGAAAACTGCTGTTTACAGCATTTAATCAGCCCAAACGCAGCAGGTTTTTGCATGGAAACAGTGAGAACTTGGAGAAAAACAAAAGATTTCACTCGTAGATGCAATAAAACAACAAAAGATACACGTTTCTTCAATTCGAGAGAAAGAAACAACTCTCCGATTCTCTAGCCAAACCTAGAGCCCAAGAACACAAACCCTAGATCTCAAATCTCTCTCAAATTCAAGATGAAAACCCAAATTTTAAAAATAATCACTAATTAAAGACAAAGGAAGATTACAAATTCCCTAAACAGCCCCTAATTCAAAATTTTTCCTCCAAACAAGCATTAATCAAGGTGTGGGGCCCAAGGGAGTGGCCGCCCCCCTCTCTCCTCCTTGCTTGGGCGGGCGGTGGTAAACCCAAACCGGTCCCTAGGGGACCGGTTCAGGAGCAATAGCCGGCCCCTCCTGGGCCGACGTAACACAATCTCACCTCAACGCTCACATCTTGCATTTTCATTGCATCTAAACCTACAAATTCCCTCATAACATCAACTTTGAAAGGTGCTTTTCAGCAGACTTAATGCATTTGTATCTATTGATTTATATTCTCTTGTTCTAAGCCCTTGGTTTGTAACTATTTTGTTTGTGAGTTTTACTTGCCACCGGTAGGATAGTAATACTTGTTCACTCTCTTCCTAGTGCAGGATCATCATCAGATACTTTGCATACTTCATTTAGTGTATATATTTTGCAATTTATATTTGCTAAGATGACGTTTTTATATTCTATCACCTTATGGTTCAGAATTTCTAAACATTTAGCTATGTTTATTTGATGTTGCAGAGACCTAGGCAATTCAAACTTGGTTGGTCAACTTGTGCCTGATCTTGGAAAACTGGAACATTTGCAGTATTTGTAAGTATCATTTTAGTAATATGAATATTTCTACCTAAAGAATGTGCCTACCGCTAAATACTGTTTGCTGTTCCCTGAGTTGAAAAAGTTGGAAAATTGTGACATGGGCATACATTTCTTTTTCAGCATTAGTTGATGTTGTCTTAAAAACTAATTGTAACATGAAGGAAATCTTATGGACACTAAGGTAAATGGTAATCGTTCCATTAAACAAAGCATGACTCACAAAATTGAAAGAATTCAAATACCTTATTATATCAGATTTGTGACGTCATATAATGAAAAAATAACCATTCCTTTGGCCCATAATGTTCAATTGAAAGCAAGCCCTTATACTTGATATTTTCATTTTCTGTAAAACTAGATAGTTGCTAGAATTCAGAAAAATCAAAACTGGGTGCAAGTAATGTTGTTCCCACTTTCCATCAGGTTGCTCATGATATGTTATGGAAATTTATTTGAGAAACTTTGCTGAAGAATTTAGGAAACTAATATTTTCAACAGCGGAACCCTTATTTGCTATTTGCAAGTGAATTTTATTAATTTCTGACTCGAATATAACATCTTCTCTGGGAACTATTGAAATTTGGTTGTCTTCGAACTGACAAATTTGAGTTGGCGTCTGCCATGATTTCTTAGGTGATTCTATGGAAAACTTCACAATTTACTTTTGTATTTTCTTGCTTAAATATGTATTGCATAGCTATATAGCATCTAATAAAAAGTTGTTCAAGTTCACTTCTTTTTTCTGTGTAATAAACTGATTTCAGTTGTAAGTTTATTGATCTTGCGAAGTCTACAGCTGGCATACCTTTATTTATTCATTAAAGATTCTAGTTTTCTGTACATTTGTTTACCTGAAAATTAGGAAATTCATGTGCATTACACGGTCTTAGTTTATACGTATTAGTCTTTCAATAATCCAGCTTGTAATGATGTACAAAGCGGCCGCATGTCTCTTTGAATCGTTGTTCTTTGTTGGTGGTGTTATTTCATTGATGATTTTCTACGTTGATATAAAATTTTAAATTATTTTGGTCCCAAATTACTACTAGAAACCTATACTTGCTATGGAATCTTATTCTTTCCTGGACTACTTTCCAGAGAATTGTACAAAAATGATATTCAAGGAACCATCCCTGCAGAACTTGGCAACTTAAAGAATTTAATAAGCTTGGACTTGTACAACAACAACATATCAGGGTCTATTCCTCCGGCCTTGGGCAAAATCAAGTCTCTAGTATTCTTGTAAGCATAATTTGCTTCATATAAATCTGTTCGATATTTCTAGTTCTGTACATTTTATTTACTTGGCAATCTAGTTCTGCTCTTCTGTAAACCAAATCTTTAATATTTATAATTTTAGGCGGCTTAATAACAACAAGCTTAGTGGGAGAATCCCAAGGGAGCTGGCTGAAGTTTCTGGCCTCAAAGTTGTGTAAGTTTTTTTTACAGTTTTCATAATATCTTCATAGTCATTTTGATTTTCTAAAACCAAGTTTATGTTCTCAGAGATGTCTCCAACAATAATCTTTGTGGCACCATTCCCACTACTGGTTCATTCGAACACATCCCGTTAAACAAGTAATTTTTTTTCCTTCTTTCCTTTTACTGTCCTCAAATAATGCACTTTTGCTCAAGAAATTATAAATGCGAATTGTATCTATAATTTTATGTGTGAAATGCACGAGTAACACAGCTATGCATTGAGTGCACATTCTCTCCTTTTTTTTTAAAGACGCAACCAGTACACATGAGCACGATTGTGTGCTCTAAAAAATGCAGTGCGTGGCTATATAGGCTTCGTTTGGGATGTCTTTTTTTACTTCTTAAAGCGACTTTCTACTTAAGAAGAAGTAAAAAAACTGTCCCAAACAAAACCATACTCGTATACTTCACACTTAGATTTTATTTTGAACTAGTAAGCTGCTTTAAGTAGCAGTAAGAAAGTCGTCCCAAATGAAGCCTTGTGATAGCTTTTTTATTACTTTCTAAAGCTGTTTTCTAGTAAAAAAAAATTTAAATTAGAAAAGCTTTATACTAAAAAAAATTGCTTTAAGAAACAGGAAGAAAGTTGTCTTAAACGAAGCCTTAGAACTATGTTTTGTAATCCACATGAATTTGTGGTTGAATTTTATTACTAATCTGAACTCCTAATCGTTTGCATAGTTTTGAGAACAATCCTCGTTTGGAAGGGCCAGAGCTACTCGGTCTTGCATCCTATGATACAAACTGCTAAGAGCTTAACAAGACTCAAAACTTTGGAAAAGGTACATTTTATACTACAAAATCTAAGCTATAAATATAAATTTGTGAGCAATGGAAGAACCGTATTGCCTTTATGTTGTATGTATGTAGATAGTGGGCTTGTCCTGCCATGTAACGATTTCCTTGAAGAAAACAAGCTAATTAGTTACTTAAGAACCTTGTTGTATTAACCTGGTGTTTCAGAGAACATTAAGATTAGCAATAGTTCATAATTTTTTTTAATATTTTAATAATGTAGTTAATAATTTCAATTTAAAATAATTACAAATGAGTATTTTATATACATGCTAAAGCTAATGTGGCTTTCTCTCGATTGGGCTCGGGCTAAGCCCAAATAGTTCAAAGAAAATTGGATTAGGAGCTCTAATTCATATTAGGGTGAAGACTAGGGGTATAAGCAAGTTAAGCCGACTCGTAGGCTCATAAGTTAAGCTAGTTGAGCTAAGCAGTTAAGCTTGAGCTAATTCTAACTTAACTAGTTAGTTTGCGAGCCGTCTCATTTTAAAAAATGTAAATATAAAATACAACCTTTAAAATATATTAAAATTCATGATTTTAATGAAAATTTTCTTAAAGATATTTGAAAAGCATTTCTTACTTTTTTTATATCAAGTGATTATTTATTATTAATTTAATTTATTATCTTTTTTTTATTTTATTAAAATGATTACTTCAATAAAAAATATTTTCTCTCATTTATTACAAACAAGCAGGCTCGAATTTGTAGAATGAAGTTTGAGCTTGAATTCAATCAATTAATCAAACTGAAGTCTGGGTACCTCGAGCTCAACTCGGCTCATTTATCCTAATGGGGACTATTAATATGATTGCAAGTTTTAATTTTATAAATTATATTGCATATAACTTATTTGTATTTTTGGTTGAATTGTTTAAATTTTTTTAATTTATATTTAAGAATCAAATCTGCACTGTTTTAAATAAAAAACAAAATATATTGATGTGAGATAACACAAAATTAAATGCCTAGAAACATAAACGATGCATTTGAAGGGAGATATTTATATTCCTTTTTGTTATTTATATTTAAAATTAAATATAGCGGGGGGATTGTAACTTTGGGCGTTCATGTCATTAATAAGAGTGCAAGTTTTAACGTAGTGGAGTAGCTGAAGAAAAATGGAGTCGTCACCTCGTCCGAGTGAGCAAGCGGAGATTCGAGCAGAGACAAGCAATTAGCGGCGATTGAAAGCGTTACGAGGGGAGATTCGAATGGAGATGGGCGAGCTGCAAGCGTATTGTGGGGAGTCTTTCTTTCCTCAGTCCATAGAATTCGAGCGAAAGCATGCAAAAAGTCGTGAAAAGGAAACGATTATAGCAAAATTTAACATGCATAAAGGGGCAAATTACCAAATAAATCTAGCTCTAATAAGTTTTTTTTTTTTTGAGGATGCTCAAGTGGACGAGTGACTTTACTCTTAGAAATAATATGCAAAATGATCATATAAGTGAAAAGGTTGGAGTAGCTCCCATGGAAGGTAAGATTAGAGAGAGTCGCCTTAGATGGTTTCGTCACATAAAACAACAGCCTTTTGATGATCGAGTTAGGAAAGTAGATTAATTCGATTTGACTTATTAAGAAAAATAGATGTAAACCTAAAAAGTCTTGGTTGAAAAATATCAGAAGTGATCATTCTTTATTAGATTTAAATGAGAAATTGACTATGAATATAATACAATGAAAAAAAAATATTTATGTAGCCAATCCAAGATAGTAGGATAAATAATTGATGCTGTTGTTATTGTATATTTAAAATTAAAAATTAGTATATTCTTTCTTTATTCATTTTTATTCTATAATTATTGAATTATTCATTACATTTAATTTTATGGTATTTAATTTTTTAATTAATCTTATTTCAAATAATTAGAATATATATTATCATCATTTATATTATAAATAAATTTTTTTACTACTTTATAATTATAAAAATAATACAATATTATTTTCCATCCATTGCATGTGATTATTAATTTTCCATTATCTTATCCAATAACTAATATCCGTGTGGGCCTTCCTGTCTCTAATAATTGTCGCATTTGTCAATGCTGTCGGTTTGTTGGCCATGCTGTTGGCTTTATTGCCGTTCGACTAAAATCCAACGGCCATAAACAATTACCCGGCTGATTTTGGCATTTTGCATCAAGCGGCCAGAATTTCGTAGAACAAATTGTCAATTTGGAAGTTTACAGGAGTATTTTAGTAAAAAGGCCATTTGCCTGATTAAGAATCCGTTAATCCGGATTAGAGGGGCTTAATGGTGGCCATGGAAATGGAAGAGTCCGCCCTCTCGGGTATAAAGCAGGGGGCCTGCGGGAAGGCAAGAAAGCCAACCGTGCAGCTGAATTCTCTAGATTCCTTTCTCTTTCTAAGAATTTCCCTTTCTTCTCCGCTCTCCGTGTGAAAACCTAGTCATCATGACCGAGCAGCTCACGGACGAACAGATCTCCGAGTTCAAGGAGGCGTTCAGCTTGTTTGACAAGGATGGGGACGGTTAGTTGCTTCGATCTTCGTTTCCTTACCCGGTTTTGTTCTAGATCTATAGGATCTATTGTGATTTCTAGTTTCTTCTATTGAATCTGTTGAGATCTGGGTGTTTCCATGGGGATTTCGGTGATGTTGGATACGGTTGTGGAGGATTACACATTTGAATACTGTTATACAGTTTATGCTTTCTTTAGATTTGTAAATTAAATTTAAAAAGTGTACGAAAAAATCAGGAGTCATTGTTTAGAATTCGAGGTCCAGAAAAAAAAAATTATTGAAAAGATTCATATACAGCAAATAGATGGACGAGGACGACAGATTTCAGTGATAAATATAGTTGAGGTAAATAGCATTAGAGATAAGTGATTTGTGAAGAATAGGTTTCGCTTCTTAGGTAGCAATAAACAAATTAATGAAGAATAAGTATTTAAAAGCTCGACCCCAAATACTTGGTATGGGGCTGATAATGAGGAGTGAGAAGAGTTAGGGATAAGGTGACGACTATTATTTATTTATGGATTAAATGCATACAGTTAGGCACCTCAATTTTTTCAGAGCATCGCCATTATCAAGAGGATTTAAATCGGTGAAGTAAATATAACATGGAATTTATTCTTTATTTTGCGTATGTTAAGATGGTAATAAAACTTCGAACAAATCCAAATAAAAAAGCTAGAATAAATACACCAATTATCTCAAATAGAACACACGATAGTTTATGTAATTTTGTGAAATTCATCGCGTCCATGGCCGCAGAGATCAAACATTTCTGTGACCCTAAAATAATGTGCAAGAAAAGATATTACAATTCATGTAAATCTATACTATCGATAAAGATTCATGAACATAAATCAGCGGACGTTGATTTTTACTTTTATGATTTCTATTGGTACATTCAACTCTTTGACTTTGTGATCTATAAGAAAGGAAATGCAGTAAACCCTAAACGTAAAATTACTTAGTATTTCTCCATTGAAATTTGTCAGGATGTATCACCACCAAGGAATTGGGTACAGTGATGCGTTCACTGGGTCAGAATCCAACAGAAGCAGAACTACAGGACATGATTAATGAGGTGGATGCAGATGGCAATGGAACAATCGACTTCCCAGAGTTCCTCAATCTCATGGCTCGGAAAATGAAGGACACAGACTCTGAGGAGGAGCTCAAGGAAGCCTTCCGAGTTTTCGATAAGGACCAGAACGGATTCATCTCCGCCGCTGAGCTTCGCCATGTCATGACCAACCTGGGCGAGAAGCTGACCGACGAGGAAGTCGACGAGATGATCCGCGAGGCGGATGTCGACGGCGACGGCCAAATCAACTATGAGGAGTTTGTTAAGGTCATGATGGCCAAGTAAAAGTAAAATCAGCAATGAGGAGATTACTTCCTTCTAGTTGTTGTGTTGTTCTCAGTGCTCGTATTTTTTATGTTTTGTTAACCTGTGGTTTCTATGAATCTCTCAATTGATTTCATTTCTGAGTATTTGGAAACTGGCTTGTTATTGTTTTGTTTTTCCACATGTTGGTGCTTGATTTAGGGTTTAGTTTGGGCAGTTTTTATAATTTTGTTTTAGATATTTTTATATTATAGTTTCTTAATTTTTATTTTTGATAAAAAAAATAAAATTGTATAATTGAATTTGATAATGTGATAGCTATAAACAAATTGTAGTCGTTTTATCGAAAGAAATAAGAGAAATTATTCTGTGTAGATGCTGAATGCGGTTTACTCTCCGGAGACCAACTAGAATTCGCCCATATCAGCATTACGGAGCGGGGGTGACGTGATGCATTCTGATTGGTATCTGGATGGTGTTCGGCGTCTGCACAGAATAATTTGTGAATAAAAAGAAAGCTTGTTATACTCAACAAAAATTTAGAGGAAAAAAATCTAATTTGCCTACAATTCTGTCGCTGTTTTTACAAATAAGCTCCCAAACTGGCTTTTAATCTCCACTTTATATGGAAATAACTTCAAGGAACAAGAAGTTCGTGCACGGGCATTTTGTCCGACCATGGCAGGGAGAAATTATTTGTGCGGAGTTCGGACGGGAAGAACAGTTCGGATTGCTGCATATTTACCGAGTATGTGCCGAATATTTCTAAATACTCGGTAAATACACAGTAAATCAGCAAATAATTACAAATTACTTAGCGAATACTCACAATTGAGTATTTGCTGAGTATTTGCAAATACTAAGTAACGGCCAGCCCTATTGAACTCCAACCATCTCAGGCTAAAATGAAATGGATATAAATTTCATTGATATTAACATCACTATGTCTATGTTTTGCAGGAAATTATAAAGCCTGTAGCAACCAGAAAGGCTGTGGCAAGAGTCCGATGAACTATTTACAGGATATTTATGACCGAGGAGCAACTAGCAGGATAAGTAGTTATAGAATAATGAATAGCAAAAAAGAAATAGTGAAGCCTAGAACAAGTATAGATTTTATTTCTTGGTTGCAAATTTTGGCTTCGTTTGGGACGGCTTTGTTATTGCTTCTTAAAGCGGCTCTCTAGTACAAAATTTTTAATTTTTGTACTAAAAACCCGTTTTAAGAAGTAGTAAGAAAGCCGTCCCAGACGAAATCTTATTTTCATTATTTTCGTGAGTAATCATTGTATCGTATATTCTAAAGGTCCCAATGCCACATATATCATAGCAAGTGAGCAATTTCTAACAAAAAATAGTTAAAATGCTAGCTAAAAAGTTGATCCTACAGTATTTCAGATGCTAAGTTATAGTAAAAATAGCAGTAATTAATGTTGATTTTCACTTATGTTTGCTTGTTTTATGTCCTTAATCACATATGTTTTAGAATGCAGATTTGTCATTACATCCGAGTGATGATAGACTGTTAACTCCAACATTGGATGTTAGGACAAAAAAGATCTGATTTTAGGGATCAAATTTGTCCCTAAAAAAATTGGGGATCATTTTGATCTCTCACAAAGAGTTGAGGGAATGTTTTGATCATTTTCTCTTTAGTTTAATTAGTATGCTCTTCAAGAGTGAATTCTACTGCCCAGTTATAAAAATTGTTTTTGTCAATTCTTCAAATTATCATCACCATATGACATTTACATGCAATAATATGAATTTATGTTTGATAGATCATCCACTGAACATCAAGTAATTAAAAACTTAGTGGATGATAGATCATCAAGGAATTTATGTTTGATAAAATATTTTATCCAATGGTGCTTCAGAGATTCAACATGAATGAGACAAAGCTAGTTTGCACTCCCTTGGTTAGTGACTTTTAATTATCCAAGGAACAATTGCCTAAATATAAGACAGAGGAAGAACATATGAAGAAGACCCTGTATGCTTCAGCAGTTGAAAGTTTGGTGTATGCTATGATCTGCACAATATTTGATATAGCATATGTAGTGGGAGTAGTGAGCTGATTTGTAACCCAGGCAAATTTCACTGGGAGGCAGTTAAGTAGATTCTCATGTAATTGAGAGGATCAATTGAAAAAGCTCTTTGCTTTGGTGGTGCAGGGATTAAACTATAGGGTTATGTAGATTCTGATCTTGTTGGAGATCTTGATGGTAGGAGAAGCACAACAGGTAATATCTTCACTTTGAAAAAGACTGCAATTAGTTGGGTTTCTAAGTTATAGAAGATTGTTGCGCTCTCAAGCATAGAAGCGAAGTACATTGAGATCATTGAGGCTAGCAAGGAGATGATTTGATTGCAAAGTTTATTGACAGAATTTGGCAAGGGTCATCTTCTTGCTTAGCTCGCCGCCGAGAGCTTATGAAAACATCATTGATACAATGTTGTATGGGAAGCAAAAATTGACGATGACGGAGGTAAAGTTAGTATTGATGTCAAAGGAGATTCAACCAAAATTAGAGATTAAGGAGGTAAAGAATAGTGACATGTTACTGTTCAGGGGCAGATCTAAAGTTACAAAAGAGAAAGCCAACAAAGAGTGCTACATGTGCCATAAGAAGGGAATTTCTAGAGAAATTACTCGAGTAGAGAGAAATGGCAAAGAGCGGAATTCAAAGAAGACACTAACTTGGCAATAACAGCAAATTTAGGAGATGAATGGATTGATTCAGATGTTCTATAAGGGTCAATTGGAAGAAAGTTGGTTCTGTTAAGAACCACTGGTTTAATTCACATTGCTATCCTATCATTAGCCGCCACGTGTACCTATCTTATATGCAGCTCTATAAATACACTTGTATCTCTGTAAACAAGAGGTGGAAAATATATTAATAAAGATTTCATTTGTTCTTCTTCTTCCTCTGTACCGTCGGGTTATACGTTTCTACATGGTATCAAGAGGCTCAAGATCTTGAGGACCTTCTCCATGGCGACTCAGTC